AGAGCAGCAGAAATGCCACCTCCTTCATGCTACGTGGCAAGTGTGAAGGTCAGGAAAAGAGAACTCACATCACACTTGAAATTCAGCAGTTCTTTATTGACTGCATGTCCCTGGGCTTCCTGAGGAGTGTCTGTCCCCTCTCCACTACTGTTGGGCAACAGGCTGCCTCCACTTGCAGGCAGCCAGGCAGCTGCCAGGTAGAGGACCCTCCTGGCATGATCCTGCCACCCATCAGTACAAATGGATTTGAGGTACGGGATGAAGAAGGGCCTTTTGCCCAAATTCTCTCTGGCAAGCACAATGGAACAGGTGAGCCCTTCCTGGGCTCCAATACTCAGTACTCCATGTCCTTCCTTCTCCTTCAAAACTGGGGCAATTCTCAAGCCATAGGCCCCAACTCCAAAAACTGTCGTTTTTGGGTTGCCACAGAACACTGCTGATGTCACTGCCTAGAGTTCTGAGCCCTCCAACTGCCGTACCAGTGGCAGAGCAGCAAGATGCAGGAGACACAGAAAGAGCTCACCAGGTACTAATGGATCCTCCTCCCCAAAAGAAAATAAGCCTGATGGGGAGGAGATGGAAAGTGGAGCCGATGCAAATAGATGAAGAATCCATGGAGCCCATGGAGGTGGATGAACCTCAATATGAAGAACAACCAATGGAAGTGGATGCACCTCCAGAAGAGCAACTGCCAATGGAGGTGGATCCACCTCCACGTGGGCTCAAGAGACAGCGCCCGAGGAGCCTCAGGGACACCACGAGAAAATGGTGAGCGATAGCTTGAAAAGAGATGCCACACTGGGTTAAACTGAAAGTTTCATACCATTTTCTGCCTTTGGAAGTAACAAGAAGTAGAAGAGGAAGAGAATGAGAAATACAACCTCCACTTAATGTGTTGACTATCACCTACTCTATGAAATGAATGGGTTAGTAGCTTTCCTGAGCTATCAGTGGAACCTAGACTGTAATGTTTCTTAGCCGCTACAGAATCTTTCTTTAAGCTGTATAGTATAACTTCAAACATATTTGTTGTTTATTTTGACAGCCACTGTGAGAATGGGCTGTTTATTTCTGTAGGTTTAAGCATTCTGTCCATTCCTATCATTGCTGTCAAGCTTCCACTATCCTTAGTTTTATTGTAAACTAGTTCAGCTGGTTTTGCTGTAAAAAAAATTGTGGAAATCAGCATCCCAGAATCACCAGAAAATGACTCATTATCCCCAGATAATTGGAATGAATTGTCTTTTAGAGGTATTGCCTTGCTTCCTTTAAGTATAAAGAAAGCCTAGGAGATTTGTTTCTTCACAGAAAGTGAAGTAAAATCCAAACAAACTGACTTACCAGACTCAGACAGGAGAATGGTGGCAGAGGGGAGAATTCAGCTTGGGTTTTTCACTCATCCTCTGTCTGATCAACTAAGACAGTTACCCATATCCTCACCCAAATTCTTCTAAATAATCCCAAATCTCTACTTGCATTAGCACAGCCACTGCCAATTACATTTTTCCACAGTACAATTGGACTCTACTGTGGATAATGATCATCTCCTTAGTGAACAAAAACTACTGTAATCTCATTATATATTAAGGATGCCAACTCCTGTATGTACTACTATGCTCGTCTTGAGAAGGAGGTAATGGACTGCTGTGTCACATCTGCAGCGTGCATTAGGTTGTGTTTGCTGTATCCAACTTCCAGTGCTTCCACAAAGGACACCGGGACAGAAATGGGGATCTAAGAAAAGAAGCACACAATTAAAAATGAAAGAATCACCTGTAATAGCTAGCATTTGGAGGAGATCATTTTCAGAAGAGGCTCCAAAGAGCAGTTTGTACTGTCTGTACTTTGCAAATAAATAGCATCTTAAAACACCTTAAACAAGTACTCAAGAGAGAGAGTGAATCAAGCTCACTTCCTCAAAATGGCCTTCCCATCCCTAATTACATGATGGATGAATCATACATGCACTTAAACACATGCAAGTCAGTCCACTATGAAATGCTGTCTGCAAAACAAAAGTAATAGATAGTACTTGTTACACTGTTCCTGGAGAAATATTTCTATTTAGGACATGAGGGTCTCTCTCATCCCCTCACAATAATCTAGTATATATCACTGCTTTACTTCTCACATTCTAGACTTTGCAATGAAATGTATCATACAGCAAGACTGAAACACTCAGTGATGAGGTGTTCATCACACTTCTGGTTTTTCACTGCCAAATCTAGTCTTCCTATATTATGGGTTTGCCATGCTTTTTTGGCTCCCAGAGTACAACTGTACAGACAGATGACATAAAACCACATTTGGGGAATTTCTAGGGAGCATACTACGAAGATGGTGGCAGCTGTACATATATGCAACAAGCAGCAGGGATTCTTCAGTGCTTTGCACAACCTGCAGTAAACCCTAAACCTCCCTATCTCTATCATTAGAGTTGCACAGCTATTTCCCTCTTGACTAAGTATCATGGGGCAATGCATTTCTAATCTGTTTATCATCTTCAAACATTTCTCATCAGGTGTGAGAAGTTCTGGAAGAAGTCCAGGAGCCGAAGAAAGTAGGAGTCCTGCCAGATTAAGTGTCAGCAGAGAAAGGGAAAATGGAATCTTTGGGGAACAATGGGAAACATCTCAGAGCAATGCTTCAGTGACCCAAACCTAACTCTGTTCAAAGTTGGAGTAAAAGATACATAGAATTTGTATTCTGAAATCTGTAGCAAGCCATACTTTCATCTTTTGCTTGCATGCTTGATATTCCTAAGAATCTCAGGAGAATGATACTGTTATTTCCACTGGGTTTCATAGGTAGGACTGGAACCCCACAATTACATGTCCTGCTTGAATAACATTTGGTCCTGGTTGCTGCAAAAAGATTCTCTTCCCCATTTAGGGGAAAAGACAGTGACCACAAAGTCTTCACATACACCTTCAAATACAGATAAAATCATTGCACTCTCAATAGAACAAAGCAGAGTAATAATGAAATACAAGAAAATGCAAGATGGAAGAAGAGACCCATCTTGTAACTACCGACCTTGAAATCAGATCATAGCGTGTGAGAAGTTCATAGAAAATGAATTTCAGTGCATGATCTCCACTGGCATCGTTTAGTGCAAATACATCAAAGGACCACTTGTCTACATTCTGCAAGAATAAGTAGAAAAGAATGTTAATCTGATCATCCATTTCACCATCACATTTCAATTTCCATCACTGTACATCTACAAATGGAGGATGAGAGAGTATAGATTTTATTTACAAAATTCTCCATTTCACTTAACCAATACAGAGTCTAATTTACACATATGTATGGTATGACTGACATTTAAGAAGTCACTGTTCAGAAAGCTTCTGTTGCTTGCTTATTCAAGTCACAGTGATTCAGCAATTGGACCAGCAAAATCCTGGTTTGCCTTTGTAACTGAAATACTGGATGGGCACCAGCATACTGGCCCATGGTCGTATTTTCATCACCTGCTGCACAGTGAACCAGCATAATAAATATCTTAAAGTACCTTGCTTTACTCAAAGAGATCTTAGTTCCTTCTGATTATTGCAGCTTCAATTGCCCAAAGACAGCGTGATTCTCTTTTTTTAATTGCATTTTTAATTATCTGCAACTTTGTGTTTTTGTTTGTTTTTTTTTAAAGATGAGTTGGCTGAGGCATTTAGAAAAGTACAGAGCAGGAGAAAGTTATAGTAATGCTACATTAAGTGCTAACAATGGTATGAAAAATGACCTTTATAACATAAAATAAATATCTAACTGCAATTGAGAGTTAAAGTTAGCAGTAAATGCTATACTAATGCTGCAAGGTGCTCAGTCAAGAAACAGGAAACTTCAATTTCTAGCTCATAAAGCTAAAATATAAGGTATTAACTCACTTGCAGAAGGCTAAATTCCATCTCGACTCCTATGGATGGCAGCGCGAGCTGACAGCACTCACTCTTGAACAACACAATGCACCCTGATCTTCACAGAGGATGTTCCCGAAACACTGTGAACCTTTCACTCCTACATGTAGGAACAAAGAGTGAAGGTGCAGAAGGAATTATAGCTAGAACGATATACAGATCAACTTCACAGCTTCATCTGGCACAGAACCAACTTTAAGTCTCTTCTGTCTGCCAGCCAAGAATTCTGATGTGCTTCTTTTAGGGACAGACCCAAAGGACTGTCCCTAAACCATATATTGAAAATTGACATCAGTAAATTTCCCTCCCCATTTTCATTTTGTCTCAGTTAAGGAAGCAATAGAATTTAACTCTTGCACGTACATAACATTTACATAATAGCATATACAATATATAATAGTAATTTACTTTTATAATTTATATTTAAATCCATATTTTTATATAATGTATATGTATTAATAAAATCGTATATTTTTGGTTCCTAAGAAGTTGAAAATAACATCTCAAATATACTTGAAATAGAATGTACTGTAAAGCCATCTTATCTTGTAGAAATAAAAAGATTTGTGCTTCTTTATTTACTTTTTCTTGTAGTAATGTGCAGCACTATCTGCTGCAATCTCTTGCAGCAGATAAAAGTTAACAAATTGCAAAATTGCATAGTACATCCAAATTGTTCTTTTGCAGTGAACAATGGTTACCCATGTAGATGCAAAGTTTCACAGCAGCTATTTAGATTTCTCTGAGCCACCTCACTGCCTTCTGTTCTGAGCCCCAAACAAACAGCACCCTGCAGCTGGTAAACCAGTTGCAGAGCAGCAAAAGACAGCAGCAGAATTTACTGGAGAGGTAGACCTACTTAGGAAGGACAATGAATTCTCCTCCCCTAAAGAGGCCAGAGTTGATGGGGAGGACATTTAATGAGGAGTCGATGATGAGAACGTAGAGCCTGGGAAAGTGAATCCACTTCCAGATGAAGAATAATTGATGGGAAAGGACCCACCTTCACCAGGCTTAGGAGGCACAACACCGTTCAGGCTGACTGCATTGATCTGAAAGATTCCCAATGAACTTAAAAAGAGGCAGTATTCAGCTTCTTGGAATTTATCTTTGAATACCCTTTTATGTGAAATTCTTTTTGCTTCTAGGTTTTATGGATTGAAAGCCTTGTAGTCTTGTTTCAATGAAGCCCAGTTTATTTCTCTTCTAATGCAGTGTGTTTATTGGCAATGCAAACCTAAATACTGTCAGGAGTGTTCTCCGGTATCAGCTTAGATTACCTCTCTTTGCCACCACGCTGCAAGGCACAGAAACAGCCTGTTTTCTAATAGTTCAGCGTTCAGGAAACTGATTCAGAATTTCACTAACTAAAGCAAGACTTTGGAGTGGAAGGTGAAAATGGCAGTTCCAGCATAAGGAACAGTATGACAAATCTAATGCCTCAGAAAAGAAAGGAGACAAACATTTCCCAGAGACAAAGGGCACCTCTCACTTGGCCCTAGTTCCCACTTTCATCCCATGCTATTTAAGACCTGTTCATTCAAGGAAAAGTTCAAATTACAAGTGCCAGAGGTCATCCACTGTTGCTTTGTTTTAAGTCTGCCTGGAATATAGTTTCCATGCCATCTGCCATTTACTTGATTCTTACATCTACTTTTCCCTAAAACTAACCCCTCCTCAAAGCCTCCTTACATAAGGACTGATGAAAAACATGGAACAGAGATATTTTTCTTTTACCAGAGAAAAAGATCCCTCACTTCATAGTCACCACCTTATTCACGTTGTCACTTTTTGGTAGTACATACATTTGTGAACAATTATGGTCAAGGATAAAGCATATTTCATCAAAAGTCTCTCTCTTTAGGAGAGACAAGTCTGAAAAAATGCATTCATCTTTTTCATCCTTATTTGCTCCTGGTTTCCTCTGCCTGGAGTAGGAAGGAAGAATCGATCATAGGCACGCCACAACAGAAAATGCTAAGGTACCTATCTAAATGTAGAATCTGCACCATCTACACTCATTAACTTGACATCTTAAAGTGACTCTTCTTTTCCCCACAAGGAACCCATGTTCCTTGTGCATGCCATGACCCTTGACATAGAAACTTCTTGTGCCACTCTAAATGGGATTATCATCTTCCAGCGTTTTGAAACCCCTCCACAATCCCCCCAACCTTTGCAGGGGCAGCATGGACGATGTTCACACTGGCCATCTGTCACAGTAGATACAAATCCCAGACTTCTTTGGGCCTTAGAGACTGTAACAGCCTGAAAGGTCTCACTCAGCAGTACAACAAACACAGATGGTTTCCCTCTTGGACCCGAGACAAACGTTCTGTCTTGGACAAGGCAATGATATTTCTAAAGTGAACCTTCTGTTTAAAACACTTGAGCTATCTAGATGTCAGAGTCGACGATAAACACTGTATAACCCTTAAAACAATATACTTGTGTGAATATTCTTCTTCAACAGGTATGTCCAGCCTGCGGCCTGCATGCCACATGCGGCCCAGCTCAGCTCGCACTGCGGCCCAAGCCCTGCTGCAGTGAAATATCACTGCATCAGGTATCAAGAAAATTGATCTGCAAAAGCTTTAAAAATGGATAACTTCATACAAATCTTCATCAAAGCTGTGAATTTCAAGAAGCCCAAGGCACTGAATCACCTCCAATTCATGGAGTTCATTAGAAGTATGAATGCTGATTACAGGGTCATCATTTGCTTTTCTGAAGGAAGGTGGCTAAGTCAGGGTAAAACGCTAGAAAGAGTTTATGATTTGCAAAGTGAAATCAAGTTCGTTATGGAATCTAAAGGAAAATTTGTGCCAGAACGTGAAGATTAATAATGGCTCACAGATTTAGCATTTTTGGTGGATTTGATAGCTTATTTAAATGAATTAGACATGCATCTTCAGGGTGAAAATCACCTTTTCTGTGCTATGTTTCAGACAATACCAGCATTTGAAATGAAACTTAAATTATGGCAAGTTCAAATTATGGCAAATAATTTAATGTATTTTGACACAGTGGCTAAACACAGTCCTGTGAAAAATCAGCAGCCATGCTTTCCATTTTGACTAATAAATTTGAGGATAGGTTTCAAGACTACCAAAAAAAATCATCATTTTATTGTGTATTTGTGACTCCATTTTCAGGCAATGTAAACACACTACTTGCAAATTTTCACATGGAAATATAGAGTTACAATCAGACATCAAACTCAAAAAATTTTGTCACATCTCTTCACCAGACTTTCATAATCCCTCTTTTACCAGAGAAAAATATCCCTCACTTCACAGTCACACCTTATTCACGTCGTCACTTTTTGGTAGTACATACATTTGTGAACAATTATTGTCAAGGATAAAGCATATTTCATCAAAAGTCTCTGATAAACACCTTGAGAACTCACCAAGAATGGCAACCAGTGCCACTGAAACAGCCTGATGGATTAGTTTCAACAAAACAAGGTCAAGCATCCCACTTGTTTTATGTTTTTGTTTCTCTCTGTTTCTTATGTTTCAATAATTAATAAATAAGCTTTGTTACTTAAATACATTACATTTATTACATACTTATACGTGGCCCAAGGCAACTGCTGTTCACTCAGTGAGGCCCAGGTAAGCCAGCAGTTTGGACAACCATGTTCTAGATAAAAGGAAATTGTGTTTCTAATCACTTGTCTGAAAAGCTAGGCATATTGAGGGCAGGTGTCAATCTACTGCACTTTTAACCTTCCCAGCTGAAAGGGAAACCACCGAAGACAAATGCTGTCTGTACAACAAGCAATCTGCTTGATGAAAAAACCAACACTTTGCATTGATCTATTGATCGAACTACTCTGGCTTCAAAGTAGCTTATTTAATCAATCGATGACAACACTTACAAAGTGACCAACTAATTAAATGAGTTTTTACAAGTTACAGTTCCTCAGTTCTCCAAATATAAACTTATTTGTGGCATGTATATACATGCAGGTGAGTTAGCACAGGCTTTCTTTATAGTGCAATACGCTTTCACACAGAAATAAGCAGCACGGGCTGAATGTGGGCTTGAGCACATCAGGCCAGCATGAGGTCTGAATTTGCTTATATGGACAGAGTATTAGCTTGGCTGTAATCACGTGCTAAAGCAGCCACATCCAACCCGCAGCCCAGCCCTATGGCCACCCTCAGCAACAACCAAACCAACGGAGCAAAGCAATCCCTCTTTTCTCAGTGAAGCCCAAGCAAGCCAAAAATTTTTACAGCTATAACCTAATGAAACTGTTCTTCATTTCCACCTTCCCTTATCAGCACCTCTTATCTGAAAACAGTGCCAGCAAAACCTGAACAGACCTTAACATAAACAGATGAGTATTAACCTCGCATGGCCACAGAGAAACCTGTTTGTAACTTTGATCACACACTAGTTTATAATGCCTTTCATGGCCTTCTGCAGTAGATGTTGAATATTCTGAGGTGACAAATATGGCCTATTCTGAACAGCGGACAGCCTCATAACAATGCTTCTGCTCACTCTCTCCTCTTTTGAAAGTTGGTTTTGCATGAAGCCTTACATTAGATTTTGCACTAAGCAGCCTTCTTTGTGCATCTAGCATTTTTTCCTGACCATATCATTTATTAAAAAAACAGTATATTTTAAAGAGGACTGGTACAGAAATCTTTCATGGGATAACTATTTTAATGATGGTACAGAGACAAGAACAGAAAATGAAAAAACACAGACCTCAGCATTTTAAAGGCCTTACAAAGTACCAGGTTTGTTGGCTTCAGCTTTCCTTTGGCAAAGCTGAGGGATCTACTTGGAGAAATTCCCCTTCCACCTCCACAGTGGCATTTTTGTTTTATGTAATACTTCTAAACAAACAAACCAAAAAAACCCATGCATTATGAATCAAGGTATAATAACAGTCTTGCTCAGCCAGGATTTCCTCAGAAAACAGCCCTCAAAACCTCTCTCGATATATGTTTCATATATCCCATATGGTCTGGCCCAAGCAGCAGGCTCACTGATGCTAGAATGAACATCACACACATAAGGAACAGAGCACCGTCTGGTTTCCCATTCTATAAATTCAGTTTTTAACTGGATCATACTGGAGTGGCACGACTGTTTTGGTTTCAATTGGGACATACTCGAAATGAGTTTGCTGTGAGCACAATTAACTGACGGGAAAAATCTTGACTACCTACCACAGTACTGAAAAGCCAGCTGTGCTTGCATTGCAAAACCAACTGAAAACCTACTATGCAACAACAAACATAACATAAACATAACACCGTGCATCTTGCAAAGGAACATTCACTTTTTCCTGCCATGCTAAAAAGCTTCACTAAACCAACTTCTCTGTATAGAAAAGAAAGATTTTAACAGGAAAAAGTATCCGAGAAAGCTAACTTCTTACTGCCCTTTGGACACTCAGAACTTGGGGCCCTGAACTGCAAAACAAGCCAAAAACGAATAGAAAAGTTACTTGCATAGGTAGGTAATAGGTGTATATACATGCGTGTGTGTGTTTCTATGGCTTCTATTAGACTGTCTCCTCCTTTCCCATCTGTCAAACCTACACTGCCTGTCTTCTAAAGCAGTAGCCTGGAAACTTGTAGACATGCTTATCTTTAATTACAAGATGAGTTCCCCAAGTGCTGATGGGAATATTCATATAGAAGGGAAGGAGGTTAAAGTGCAGACTTGTTACAGGCTCAGACTATTTTCCAGGCTGTGCTTGTGAAATAACTGAGCAGGAAGGATCAGAGAACTGGATGGGGTCCCAGCCTTCTTACAAGCTGGGCAACAACTGTAAACATTTAAAAGATCAGATCTGGGCGTAAATCCTCCATCACACCATTAAAGACTGGGATAAATCCTCTGCTACAATAATACGCTTTGTGGCATCACATGGAACCTGACAAATGTGTGAGGCAAAAAGGGTTGGATGTGTAATCCTGCTGAGTGTGACAGACCCCTTTCCTTGCACTTAAAGCTTTCCTGTAACATTCCCAAAGCAATCTTGGGATCTGGGGGCAAAGACAGGAAACGTTTTTCTCATCTTCAGGGAATGACTGACTGTTTCAGACAGGAAAAACAAAATGCAAAAGGCAATCTTGAGCTGAGTTTCAAATCACATTGCAGATTTGAGGGATTTTCCTTCATGTTTCATGAGCCCATTTTTCAGCAGTCTCCTAATTTTGCAGAATTCATGCAAAAACACAGAAATAACTTATATGCCTAAGTAAAAGGCATTTCAATGTGAAAATCAAGAGTTATTTACTTAAAACTGAATGCAAGAGGCTAGTCTTGACAATTTTGAAAGTAAAATCAAAGTTAATGGAAAAAACACAGTTTTTGAAGAGCAGTTTTGCATTTGTGTGGTTTGGAAATTGCTTGGGGTTTGTTTTTTTTTTTTAGTTAGACATTTCAATCTTGCAAAAAATTTCCGACTGTACTGAACCCATACTCCATTTATCAGAAATGATTTAAGCCTTTATGAGCCTGCTTTTAAAAATGAATCTCCGAGCCACCTAAGCACACAAATTATACCCTGCAAGGTAACAAATGTGCTCGTCTCTCCCAGACATCAGCAGAAAAAGCATGCAGTGCTTTCACATGGTGCCTTTAGAGTGCTTTGGTCTGTCCTGGTATACAGGACCTGAGGGTGCTGCACAATTTCAGATATGGGAATTAGCACTTTGCCCCTTTGGGCCATCTGTACAATATATTATTTATGAAAGAAACCCCAACTAATTCAAAGCATGCAGAGCATGTTCTGGCAGCTGAACTGCAGTTACTGACTGGGGGAAAAAATATGAAGATAATGGGAAGAAAAAAAGTCTGTGAGCAGTCACAGTGCTAAAGGATATTTTAATGAAAGGGGATAGAAAAAGGCATTTTTGTTGCAAATGCATACCAGGAGAGGAGCAGTTCACAATCCCACCACTGAATGTTTCTCCCTGAGCTTTTCTAACGTCAAGCGTGTTTGTATATTTTTCCCTCAGTTGGAATAACAGCTTCATCCAATGCAGTGGGCTAAAATAGGAGAGAGTGGTCTCCACTGGCAAACAGCTGGCAGCCGCAGAAGACTCCCTGCCTGGCCCCATAAATACCCTGCTTGTGTAACTAGCTGTGGCCAGATGCACACACAAACACTGCAGTCACCGCTGAACCTCAGCGTGCCCGTCACTTTCCGTGCTCCTGGTTCTGTTCCCAGACACGTGCCCTGCCTGCTTGCTCCACTTTTATCCTCGGCTCTCCCCTGGGTCCCAATCGGCAGCAGCCTCGCTCCCTCCCCTCGCCATTCCCCTTGCGCCTCTCAGCACAGGAGCTGCGGCACGCCTTTTGGCTCCCTTCACTGCACTCTGAATCCTCCACATCCCTCCCACTGCCCTGAGCATCTGACCAGAGAGATGCCTTCTCCTTGAGGCGCTGCCGGCATCCCCCACCAAAACCCACTGGGTGCAGAGGAGCGGGGATGCTGAGTCCCAGCCTCCCAGAGGACTCCTGATCCCGACATTGCCATAGCAACCGCTCCCACTGCTCCCTTGATAAGGGAGTAGCAGTGCTCACGGAACCCAGCTCGGGACCTTGGAAGTCCAGACAACCCAACGCTGAATCACAATCTATCTGCCACCGCTCCGTGAGTAATGCATGTAGCCTCCCTCCTGCCTCTGTCATCTCTTGCTTTGCTCTTTTCGTTTTTAGTTCCCTCTCCTCCAGCAAGGCAAATCTCATGTCACCCATCCCATGGGAAGCTGGCTGGGGATGCTCCCATACAGGGTGATGCCATTACTGGGGCTGAAACATGGGGGATGGATTCTTGGGAAGACATGAGAGAAAACAGCTTTAATTAACTTCTATACTAGGGTGAACACTTTGCAAGGAGCTGGTACTGTGACTCACTATGCCACTGTAAAGGGCTGGCACATGTGAGGGCTGGTTTGCACCACGAGGAAGTAATTAAGGAAGGTTCTTCATTATTTATTTTCTCAAAAGAGAAAAACTTTGCAGCGAGAACTTAAGCAAAAGTATCTCATATGGTTTTCAAAGTTTAACCGTTGGGATTGGTTTTCTACGAGTTTATGGGAGGTAGTGGGAGTCAGTCTTCGGGTTGGTTTTGAACTAGCCCCTAGAAGTGCACAAAAACCTGCTTCAAGACAGTACGAGGGATCTCTGCATTTTTTATTAATTATTAGTTAATAATAATAATTAATAATTTATTAATTATTAATAGCGAAGGTTTCAGCGAAGGGATACTCCAGCATCAGGCTTTCAAACAACAAAATGTTTCCTAAGAAATTTTAAGCATGCTTTAGAAAACAAATATCAGATTAATTTAACAAGAACGTCTGGAGAGAGCAGCCTAGTGCTCAAATAATTGAAGAAGTAGCATGAAGCTGTTCTCTGTGCCCAGGAAGACATCACCTCAATAGGGTAATGTTAAAAACATAGCAAAACTTGTAGCAGAAAGTTTGGAGCTCGAGGCAAGAACACCCAGACTTTCTATTTTTAGGGCATCTATTTTCTTTTCCAACAGCAGTAGATGAGTTGCCTTGTCTTGTTTACAAGATGTGCCTGGGAGTGGGTGCAGATAGAGAAGCCTGTAGAGAAACCAAGGCTTTCTGCTGAGCACAAGCTGGAGGAGCCCAACACACACAGGCACAGCACTGTTCCCTATGCCCTGTGAGCTGTTTCAGATGAGCTCTGTGACTGGAAGATGGTTGCAAGATGCCTAAACCCAAATAAGGGTATCTCAGTCTCTCTTTACATACTTGTCAATGATAAGGTGCCTACTATAGGAGCCTGCAGAGTACACTCAACAGAAGCACAGACAAATCTTTTATTCCCTCCCACACAGGTTTACTGAAAGAAAAGAGTTGATGAGAGTGTTGGGAGTTTGACCATCCCTCCTTGCTCATGGGTGCACTGAAACCAGACTCAGAGAGGGAAAGGAATGAAAAAAAAAGATTCAGAACCTGTCTGGAGAGCATAAGGGTGTGCATGAGGGGAAGAGATACTCTGGTCTCAGAGGGAAACTCCAATGCCTGAGCAGCTGTTTGGGCAATGTAGCAAAGAACAGATCTCAGAGCATTAACTGCTGCAGTCCAGCTTCTGGCTTGTATTTCGCACTGTGAAATAGTCCCAATTGTTCCCATTTCCATCTGTTGCGTGCTAGCAAGGCCAGGCCCATGCATGCAGGGATGCAGACAAGCGTGCATGCTTGCCATCTCACCCTAGGGCCCCCATTGTCTACACTTCTGCTGCTGAGCAGCTTCTTCCAGTAGCACTCTGGCCTCTGAAGCCAACTCAAGCAAGGGCACGGCAAGGGGCTAATTCACCCCAGGCAGCCCAGAACTCTGGCTTTTCACTTCTCTCACAACAAATGCCATTAGAAGAAAAACAAAGAGTGAACCACTACTTCCCTCATCCTTCTGACAGGAGTACAGAGCTTCACATTTTGGCTGTCTGGCTGCCCCAAGACCTGTACCATGTTGCTCATAGCAGAAATGTGCTCTGTGTCCAGGAAGAGATAGGTACCTCGTGTCATACAGGCTTAGGTGGCAACGTTATCATCCACATATCAAAATAAATACCAATTAAATTCAGATTAGATTGCCAACTGCCAACTAACAAGAGAATGCTCTTAATAGTACTTTCATTTAGGTAGTATCCAAGTCAACATGCCAAGGGTGTCTTTAATGATGAGGCGTGGCCTGCAAACTAGTGCATACTTTTTCTTGGAGGTTTTTGCCAGTTGTGGAAACAAAACATTCTTCTGACCAAATAAAAAATAAATAAATATTAAAAATCTATACTTACGGACAGCGGTAGATGGTCTGCTGAAGTCCTCAGAAGCAGAGTTTGTGGAGACTTGACAAAGTTCACAAATTCTAAGGAAAATAATAAAAGGAAATTACTTGTATACATAGCAAGTGATGTCCTTAATGGTAAAGAGTCCTGATATCTATGGCCAGTTAGCCCCTGTAAACTTAGATAAGAACTGCAGGTCAGAAAATTCTCCATTTGGTGGGTGATTACAGTCATCTACTGATGACTTCTTTGAGAATGGTACTGTATCTTGAGTTTAGATCCAAATCAACATGTTTATAATTTCCATGTAGCAGCCTAGCACCTATAGACTTTCAGATCCTAGGAGTAAGCAAGAAATGCAGAGCAACTTTAGTCTAACCAAAGCCACTTCTGTACTTAGGTCAGGATCAAATGAGAAAATTCCAGCTCTTCAGATTTATTCTCACAGCTTTTGTTTCCTGTCTTATAAGGAAGACTTTTCTCATGAGATTTCATTTCAAGATGGCTTGAATGTCACATGAGCAAAGTACCTCTACAGATTAAAATTGTTTTGGTAGAACTCTGTTATTTGGTAGAACTCTGTTAGTGTATCTTTGCTGAGTTTTCATTAAGCTCCAGCCTGATCATTTGAGATAAGTATTCATACATCAAACCAACTATACACCAAAATAGTTAAAAAAAAAAAAAAAAAAAAAAAAACCTGGTCTCTTTGTCCATCTCTAGGCAAAATATTTATATGTAATTGAATCCTGGAATTAAATGCATTGCTGGACTGTTTGATGAAGCCCCATAATTTAGGGAAAGAAAGGAATCCTATAATTTGCGTGTATGTGTGTGTACGTATGCTTTAGAACTATGTCAGTGAGTAGTAGGAGCCCCTTTGTGTACCCATGCCAGAGCACTCTACAAAGACTTCTGAAAGAGTAAATTAATTAATAAATTCAGAGCATTTGCTGTAAGCTACTTTATAACAAAGGTGCATTTTAGGAAGAGAAAATTTCAGACATTTTCCATATGAATCCTCATCTCTTACAAGAGTGCATGTTGGAGTCCTGTTATATGACAACGACCAGCATGATAAATAATCCACACAAAACTGAAATAGCTTTCAGTCATATCAACACTTTTCAGCTCGTCTTCTTATTCCTTGCTTTTTTCTCTGTCTGTAAGTTGAGTCCACCCTGTTTACTGCCAAATAAGTAAGGAAAAAAAGCTACACAGGAAAAACACAGAACTCTTTCTCAGCCTTTTCAGAAGCATTTAAGGCACCTCTGCTCTGCCGTTTCCCAAAAGTAAGAGACTACAGGTGACTCCTTTGAGCACACTGCTCTGCAGGATGGTGTTACAGCCTGGCTGTGCTGTACAGAAGGTAGTCTCAAGCTAAGTGACTATTGAATTCTAACTCATATGGAAAAATCTATATCCATTTTAGACAGCGTCTCCTGCTGAGTGTGATTTAGAGCTTCACTGCAAGCATTAAAGCTGCACCAAGGATGAATGTGGCTCATTATGTTGAGAGATACAATAGAGTGCGAGAAAAAAAATCACAGTCCTCCATGTAAAAGGCAGGCATTACCTACAAAGGTGACTGACTGCAACAGAGTGCAAACTGTTAGCATGAAGGCTGGTAGGAAAGGAGCTGCACTTAACACACTAAAATCTGAGAATGTGCTTCCATTTGTAAAGGCATACTAATGACTTCATGCAGTCACCATAGTAGTCTTCCTTCCACATGAAACATTACAGGGGAATCTGTTTCTTCAGTGTCTGGAATTGATTTTAGTGGTTTGGGAAAGCACCATTACAATCCTCGCATACATCACCACCTTTTTTTGAATGAAAGACCTTTGTGTAATGCACAGCAGCAGGAAATGGCATCACTCAACAATTCACACATTGTATGCAACATCCATAGACCCAAGACATCAAATCTCACCATGCATTCTGGTCCTTCTTTTCTTTGTGTTCTCTTGCAACAACGTGCAGTGTGGAGGCATATTGGTGGGCAAGGCAAAGTTTTCTGTGGGGTGAACTTCAAAATGAAAGGGGTAAGAAGTTAACCTGTAAAGGCATATTTTAAAGCACTACAGTTGCTGTGGGCTTGTCATCTGTGACCGTGAAAAGATAAAGACAGATCTAAAAGATTTATTTTAAAACATTATTTTTCTAACTATTAAATTAACAAAAAATCAACAAGGAAGTCTTATACTTACATATAACAATCGTAGATGAAGTCTCTTTACAAACTTGATTTTCATGAGGTGAAACAACTCAATGAAACAACAAAAATCAAAGTTAATTAGATTTTATAAGGTATGGCTAGCCAGTGTAAGTTATTACTAATCTTACAAGTAGATTTTACTATGTATCTCCACATTTTTTCACCCAAGACTTGTTTTAAAAAGTCCATAATCTGAAATGTTATCTTTAATTATACTGAAAACTTTCTAAATAGGACAATCTTCAGGAAAGAACATTATCAGCACAGTCATAATATTTAGCTAACAGCCAGCATAACTTAATCAAATCCCATAAAATCAAATGGCACTGAAGAAACAAACAGTTTCTCCATCAAATCACAAAGCATAGTGTGACCTTTCGTATGGCCAGATAATATGTTTATGTTTTAAATGAAACGCTGGCTGTTATGACTTAAGCCTCAGCTACAAATTATTTATACAGTCAATAAATAGAGCAACCATACCATGCTAAGATGCATTCAAAGATTTCTTTATGAAGGGTCTTCCTAAGTGAAAGCTGTTATTTTATTTATTTTTGCTAAAGGCCAACAAAGTTTCCAGGTGATATAACCCTTTAGCACAGAGCTGATGCTGGACTGGGCCAGATCTTCTGTGGTTGAACCCCTGGTCCAGGCTTTATTCAGTAGGTATTTATGAATGCATTGAATTTTACAAATTTCTGTGAATTTTAAATACTGATGTATGGTATGGTAGTCAATTCCCTAAGTACATTATGAGTCAACGCTGCTGACATTTATTACTGTAATTTAATATTGTTGCATTTACTTTGAAGTCTCTGCAGTTTAGGACATGTTTTTTCCATTCCCTGAAGGACTAGCTCATTGCATGGTATGATTGCGACCTTTTATATTTTGTTTGGCAAATATTTATGTTACTAGATTTTGCCTGAGGTTTAATTGTTCTTAATATAGATGCAAGTTTTAGTCATAGAAATGAGGTTAACTGACCTAATGTTCACTTTCTCGCCGACAAACAACTGCAATTTTCAGAGAAATATTGTAGGTAATTTCTTGGACTGCAGCAAGATCAAAATATACTCACACAGTACAGTCTCCTGTTCTCTCATCCTGTCCTCCTCCTTTCTGTTTTTCTCTGGTTGCATTTTCTTTCACCTTTTTCTGTTATTTATCTTCTTCTTCACCTCCATCTACTCTCCTTCATCTTTTTCCAATTTCTTCTACTGCTGATGCAGTCTCTTGCTGATTCTCTTCCTTCACTGCTTTCCTGTTCCCTACAAGGAAGTCAGTCTGCTCTTATTCCCTCAAAACAGAGAACAGAGCTTATGAGCAGGAAACTACCACATCTGGTAGCTTCAAAGCTTCAAACCTTTGGGGAATGCTAGGGATTCTCAGGTAGGAAGCTGGACTCCAGGGCCTTCTACACTTGCGCGTAAGAGGGGATAAAAAACCTTGAAGAACAAAATAGCAATCCAAAGGGTTCTATAGACCATGGGCACTTAAGCAGCCTTATGACATGGGTCCCCAGTGCTCCTACCAAGGCCATTCCTCATGCTGGCTCCAGAGCCTGTGGACACTGGCTGACCTCCAGAGTCACATCTGGGTCTTTGGGGGTATCTATAACTAGAATTATAAGAATTAACTCTTCAGCATTCATAATTAAAGTTAGATTGCACAGTAAACACCAATTATGACAATTAGTTTACAGTTGAGAACATAATACAGAAAAAAATACGAAAATATTCTATTTCTTAGCATTTATTTCCTATATGTGATAGCACTTTCTGGATGATTAAGGTCAATATTTTTCTGCAGAGCCAACATGTTTTCTGTGTTTCTGTGGGTTGCACAAACCAATGTAGGTGGAAAAATGGGATATCACACATGTAACAAAGACTGTGATTATATGCATCTCTTAGCATGCTTGAGCAAAATCAGGTCAGCAGACTGTATGACAGAAAGCAGCTGGAAGACAAGAGCTTCCCTCAATCTGGCTTGCAAGTGGATACATAACACCAACATGTCTGTTTTATGTCATGCTGCTGCTTTTCTTTCTCTTCTTTTTTTTTTTTTTTTTGGTGCTGTAGTTTCAAAGGGGGAGAAAAAACCCATTTCAATGATGTCAACAGAATGTGTTCAGCCACTTGATATCCCAGAAGACAGACTGGACAAGCGAGATTCACACTGCAACCATTTAGGTAAGTGTTATTAGATGATGTCATTGCAGAAATTGGAGAGGTGTTGTCTACACATCATTAGGCCCTGTCCAGTTGCTGTTTTTCCCCTCCAGCAGTACAACTGAGTCTTCATGAAACCTGATAGATTACACCTTCTGCTGACATTTCTGATGCCAGATGGAAAGGCAAAGAGTGTTTTTCTTTCTTGCATATAAATATTAGCTGAAGCTCTAGAACAAAGTTAATTAATGAGGAAAAATGAAAAAGTCATTGTTCTTTTCTCTGGTAGAAAAAAACTAAGCATTTTCTTCATTTGTACAACAAGAAACTGAAGCCATATAGCTGGATCTTTCCTAAATAGGCATTCTACATGCAATTTAAGTAACAGATTCTAAATACCCATCTTTTCCTCTAATGGAGTGGGCTAAGTACTTTTTTCTTCTTCATTTTCAGTCTGTTTCCTTTCTGAATCTATTTCGTATGTTAACTTTTGCACTGACAGTACAAAAGAGAGATTTTTTTGCTCCACCATATACCTATATACCAGACTTCACACTTGATAGATGTGCTTTTTGTATATTCATAATCTTTGCCTCAGTTTCAAATGCTATTACTTCACTGTAGCCTGGCAAAATCATCATAAAGATTCAGAAGCCCAGAAACCAAAAAACATTTGCTCACTTTTTAGCTTTTGCAATGACAGTAAGAAAACAATACAACTTCAGGTGTTTGACAAAAAAAAAGTGTTAGCCAAGAGAATTTTATAAACTTTCCTGGTCTGACCTGCAAGAAAAATATCCTTGTCCTGTCCCTTTGCCACACTTCTAGCCAAAGGCAACACTTCTGCAATTGCTGGCGTACTCAACATAACTGTTCCACAACATTATTATTATTAATAAGCTTCTTGTACTGACTTCCTATTTAGGAGTTCTTTCTCCACAGTCATTTCAGTCTTCTCGGATGAAAGCTGTATTATTCAAGCTTTTCTTTTCACCATCTGTTTTATTATTTCCCCTCTGCTTCACTCTCTGTCCTTTTTTTTTTTCTTCTTTTTTTCTTTTGCAGAAGATCTTAAATATTATTTAAGTAAGTACAGAACTAGTCTCCGTCTACAGATGGGAATCGGAGGCAGTAGGAGGTTAAACGAGTTCATTAATACCATTCAGGAAACCTTAGAGGGCTGAAAATATGGTCTGTGTCTTCCAGGATGGTTAATCAGGCTGGGGGACTCTGCTGAAGCCAAGCAAGAAACATCTGAGAAATCAAAGCTTTGGTTTGTATGATGATGCTAATGACAGGCTAGACTTAACTTTTTCAGCTTGCATGAGCACCCAGAAATGCAGATCATTGCAGAAAAACCACGCCCACCATCTGAGTCATTTAAGACAAGCTTCATTTTAAACAAAACCAAAAATCCAGCGTAATGTTATGTAAATCAAAAGTGAATACCGACTGCTCCGTGGCTCCGGACACAAAGCCAGCTCCTGAAGGGAACAATCTGCCGGCTTTGTTTGCTAGTACCTCCGACTGACCTCACGCAGATAAATCCTTCCCTCACAAAAGTGCCCTTGTAACTCTTGGAAGAAACAGCCCCATGCTTAGAGCTGAGCGGAACGACGATGCTGCAGCTTTCCTCAGCCACGCAGCACAGCGCTGCCCGCAGCTCCATCCCCTGCTTTATGCCTACCTACCACCTACAAAGCACAAGGACCACCAAAGTCACTCAGCTCCCACGTAGTACGGCACAGAGGCCTCCTGTACTGACTTTCTACTTAGGAGTTCTTTCTCCACAGTCATTTCAGTCTTCTCGGATGAAAGCTGTATTATTCAAGCTTTTCTTTTCACCATCTGTTTTATTATTTCCCCTCTGCTTCACTCTCTATCCCTTTTTTTTTCTGCAGAAGATCTTTCAGAACAGCTGATTAAGAGCTGTGATCTCAAAAAGAAACCAAGAAAAGGTAAAACTATCCAGCCTTCCCAAAACACTGAACAGGAGCAAAAAAAGCCAAGGAGAAAAGACACACCAGCTATACACACCCCACCACCCCTAACAGGTAAGCAGCACATCTCCTTGAAATCTCACTATGTAAGAGTGGACTGAAGCTGTGGGCAAAGGTCCACAGACCGACTTACATCCCCGTGGAAGCAGACGGGAACAGAACTCCATGCCACGTGCTCCCAGTAAGGCAGGGGAATGGGGAGGATCCAGATTGTGCCCTGCGGCTCCTCCTGCCCTGGGAGGGACTCTGGGAGGAAGCTGGAGAGGCATGCAGGCCGGCTGCAGCCTGCTCCTCCTGGAAATCACGGAATGCTTGTGCATGCAGGGATTCTGGCAAAGGCTGGGTGTTTAGGAAAGCCAGAAACCACCGCAGTGACAAAGGAACTCCTTGTATGATGCCCTGTGCTGCTGTACGTTGACATACCTCTGTAGGTCAAAGAGCTGAATGCCATCAGCTTGGGGAAGGGAAGAGTGTGGAGCGGTGTCCCTGGAACCAGGTGGTTTTCCAGGATCAGCAGGGGGAATGAATGATTATCTCATTCCTCTGCTAACAAACACTCCTTGTATGCTCCCTGGGGACTGAGTTGTGCTCTTGTATCAAGTGCACTGACTTCTTCCCATGCTACATACAGAGGAGTTAACCACTAACCATCTGCGTGGTCTCCTGTGTGCCTCCAACAGTTCACACTTAAGGAGTGAAAAACAAGCATTGGGGTTTTTCAGTATTTCTAACTCCTTGCCCCTGGCTCTTCAGCTTTCACGTATATTTGCCTTTCAGTAATTCTCTTTTAGGAAATCGCTCAGATCTGGAAAGCTGCATTTTGTACCCCAAGTAGTCACTGTATGAAGAATTAGCATTTCACTAGTTTAAAGAAGCAATTTCTGAGTAGCCATATAACTCATGAGAAGGAGATTAAACATTCATGTGATTAAACCGCTTTGATAATATATCTAAGTTTCTGGAAATAGAAGATCCCACTCATCTTCACCATGATTACTGATGGGCTACAGCTTAGCCCATGGCATACAGCCAGAGACCAGCTAGCCTCAGACCACCACTGCTTACACTCTATGGGATGTAATTGACTTGAGGGAAATGTGCACTGTTGCAAAGCCAGAAAAGGATGTACACAATGCTGAGCAGATTATGCACTCATTGGGAAAGTGCATAGTGGTATTAGTTGTCATTGGGAAAATCATACAGGTGCAGATGTCTTCAGTGTAAACAAATCTGAAGTGACATTTTCTTTAATTCTTGCCTGCAGGCATACTTTCAGACTTTTCTGATAATCTGCTGAAAAGGTATGGTATCTCAGAGAAGCCACAGAGAGAGAGAGTGAGTCAGGGCTCTCAAATCACCGAACTGGAGCAGAAAAAGCCCAGGAGAAAAGATACACCTGCAATACACATCCCACCTTTGATAATAGGTAAGAAACTTAGCTGAAGTTGCTCCTAGGCTGGATGGAGGTTGTTCTGCCCAGTGCACACAGCAGCATTTGCTGAACTGGACCTATTTGGTCAAAATATCCAGTATTTTGTGTGGTGGTTCATTGAAAGACTTTTCTGTACCCACTACTCATTCTAGATAGACCTGAAGGGGGAGTGAGAGAAGACAAGATATCACTTGATTATCTTATTTAAAGGCTATCTTGTTTTTTGTGAAAATCCAACCACTGCCCTCCTTTTCAAACTAGAGCACTTGCAAATTTTAAGGTCATGTAACTCACATTGCCTTGAATATCCTGGAGCAAAGCTGTTCTGATGAACTTCCTGTTAATTTGAATCTACACTGAGGAAACCAAGCTGTGAACTTGTAGTTAACTGCACCTTAAAGACAGTTCTGTGCTTCTGGCACAATATGCAGTGCAGCAGCTAATTTGTTCAGTGAGCATATGGATTCAGCCATCCATGTTTTGGCCCTAAAACCCTTTGTTTGTTGAGTTTCCCATGTTTTTCTATCACAGAGAAGCCTCAGTTCATCAATGTTTCTGAAGGTCTCTCAATATGTAAAGCGCTGTGGAAGTGTTAATTACTGCTACTAACCATGGGTGCAAGAAACAAGCAAGTTTGTATGCTATACACCAGCACAGCAGCTGTTTCTTAACCACAGGATGGAGCAAAAGAATGAATGAATGAACAAATGAAGGAAAAAGCAAACAAACAAGCCTCAGTTTCAAAACAAGTGCTGATACTTGAAAATTTCAATTCCCTCAGGAAACTCTAGTATGAAACAAGGTCTGCTGTGGGTTGGCACTACTACAACAATGAGACATACTAGCTAGCTGAAGAGGTCCTGAGACAGCTGTTTTGGCCCTGAGTGACTAAGCAACAGCTGAATACATCAAGCACCTGAGTTTTATGTACTCATGGAATTTTCTGCACAGATAAAAAATATAAGGTGTGTAAATGGCTTCAACAGTCATAGTAAGTGCCTTCATTTGTAGATATCTCCTTTCCTTGTAAATCTAGAATCACAGAATCATAGCATCATAGAAACATGGAATGGCCTGGGTTGAAAAGGACCACAGTGCTCATCCAGTTCCAACCCCCTGCTATGTGCAGGTCGCCAACCAGCAGACCAGGCTGCCCACAGCCACATCCAGCCTGGCCTTGAATGCCTGCAGGGATGGGGCATCCACAGCCTCCTTGGGCAACCTGTTCCAGTGCCTCACCACCCTCTGGGTGAAAAAATTCCTCCTAATATCCAACCTAAACCTCCCCTGTCTCACTTTAAAACCATTCCCCCTTGTCCTATCACTATCCACCCTCATAAACAGCCATTCCCCCTCCTGTTTATAAGCTCCTTTCAAATACTGGAAGGCCACAACGAGGTCTCCCCATTCTCCCCTTCTCTTTTCTAAGCTAAACAAGCCCAGTTCCCTCAATCTTTCTTCATAGGAGAGATCTGATTCTTTACCACTGATTCAAACACACAGTAATTTTTTTTTTCATTTAACCATCTGACATTAATCATTATGGGGGTCCTTAGAACAAAGGAAGCTGACTAAGTTTGTAAGATCATGATCATGGCAGCAAGCATGGCAAATACTAGCAAATGCTAGCTCCTGGCTTGTTGAACTCAAGCACTTGAGTGGCTTGCATCATTAAAGCAGCATGCTGCAAGTGAGTCAATGGTCCAGTCATCTGCTGAGGGAAATTACGAGAAATTCATCATAAAACTTCTGAGCCCAACTGCAAATGCTCCACTTTGAAATATTTTATATAGAGCACTGATAATTAACTGCTGATATAATCGCTCAAGGAAATTACCAAGAAAATTACCTGAAATTTTACATGACAAATAATTAGGAAAAAAATCAGTCTTTAAGAGAGCAATTCAGAAACAGAGGTAGAGGCCAAATTTATCAAATAATTTGTAACAAATGTGCCTAATGCATGAAGCCTACTCTTTCTGTGGTCCTTGGAAGACTGTTGAGGGATTATTTTGGTCAGTTCAAAAAAAGTTGCCTTCAGCCATTTTAGCACCTTCCAAGATGCTGTGTGTCCTTCGGACTTCAGGATCTATGCAATGAAGAATCTAAAAGTGAAAAATGTTTGATAGAAATCAAAAGTGAAATGTTTTTACTGTGACAATGATGAAATGTATGATTCTTGTTTTGTTTTGAAAGTAATTGCTAGCTCAGGGGATGCAGCAGGGTAAATTGTTTCCCTGACACATCTCAACAATACTATGGTTAGCATCTAGTCACTTATTATTTCTTATTTGTAGCCTAGCATTAATTAACTCAAGTAGGCATTTGAAGGAGAAATGAGAATCATTTTAATCATCTTCACCTCTTGCCTCCCATGAAGACTTCCTCTTTAAAAGTTTTTATAGAAAGAGAAGTCAATACATTTTTGATGCAAAAGAAATGTTCTAGTCCTCACATGGCTTCGTAATCACAAAACACAAAACGGAAGAACACAGTAAAAAGAGGAAAAATGCAGTAACTTTCAGAAGTGTGGCAGATTTCAAAGTGTGTTCGCTTGCCACAGGGGAATGACAGAAAATAATTCATTTTTTAAAGTTTTCAATTACACTTCCAATTACACCTCCTTGTCTACACTATCCAATATACTGTCCAGCACTCAGCATGAATTCAAAGCAGCCTTCCAGATGCTTCCTTCCCCTGCAGACTTTTCCTTCCAGATCCTGCTTTATGCGTCTGTTTTCTAATGGTTGACTCCTTCTGGCAAACTTCTGCTCCTCTCCAGGGCAAAACAGCCTATGTGAATTCGATTCTGTCTTTGCTCTTAGGATGTACATTTTTTCTTCAAGATATACCAACATACACAGTTCTGCTGCTTGAACTGTCGCTGGTGGCAACTTCATGTCTTGTTGTGAATAAGTGACTCATTGTGGCTGAGGGCTGGTCCAGTATTTACTGCCTGTTTACTTTCAGGGTTATCCCATCATGTAGCAGACAGAGAATAAACAAGCTGAGCTTTTGTGGAATGGCGGTGCAAAATAGCATCTGAATTATAGACTTGGAGACCTGAGAAGCCCTAGCATAGCTACGTGTGTTAAATAAATATAGAAGGACCTTTCTGTCCCCATTCTCCTGGTCCTGCCATTGCAGCAGTGAGCAGCACACTCAGTGCCGCATGTATCATTTGTGAATTGTGACTGAGTTGTTCCCTTTTCTTACATCTCCCATTTTTGTCCCTCCCAGGCTTCCCTCTTTCAGTTGTATCATAAGCAGCATGAAAAACTCCGCTCAGTTGTTTGTAGTAACAGGAACATTAATTACCTTTTTAAGCATCTGTCCACACAAATAGCTTTGTCGTGAACATGCATTGAAAGGGCAGCTGTTATCCCTCTTGGCTTTGGCCAATAGGTCACAAGTGCTCTAGTACTTTCTTTGTCTCTCTTGGGTGACCACAGACCCTTGCAAATAAAGCAAGCCAAACAGGACATAGGGAATGACAAAAATAATGTATCTGCTGGATAACACGATCCACGTGTGAAGTAGAACTGGTTTTACACCTCGGAAACATATGGTACAATTAGGAAATGGATGAGGATGTCTGCATTGTTGTCTGAAGAAACTCATATCTCCCTATTGTCTGTAGTAGTGAGGAAATCTGTGCTTGAGACAACCTAAATGTCTAATCCTGGGCATCAAAAAATCCTCCCCTTCTTCTAAACATACTTAGGCTTCAACCTCCTAGTGAAGTGGCAGAAATTATGTTGTGACCTATGTGTACAGCTGAGCCTGGAACAGAGATCTCCATTGGTTCCCCTTCAACCAGTCAATGCCTTGGCTTTCTGAAGTGATCAGACAACAAGATCAAACACAACCACTGTTCTAATGGCTTTCTTTCCTCATACACAACAGTAAGTGATTTAAATCCCAGCCAAGGCCAGCTCTCCACTCTGGAGCATTCTTTATTGCCATCCTCATCCGCCAGTGTATTCATTTAACTAAAGCATTTGTGAGATCATCAGGCCTGTGTGTTTCAGCAAATATAGGAGCAAAACTAGTTAAGGTAGCTTCTTTAGGATATCAACTCACCTGCTCAGTGAAAATCTCAGCATACTGCAGAAGCAGAACAGCCCTTTTTCTGTGCAGTGGTTATGGCTGGAGCACTCCAGTAATCCTCCAGCCCAGCTGCAGGAGTGGTCTGTAGGCAGGCAAGTGGAACTGATGTCATCTTGGTGGTTTACATCCCAGGAGGAGATCTGAGGTGGTACATGGCAAATGCTTGGTGTAAGCCAACATTTTTTGCCTATCTCCGAGCTTCCTAATAGAAGTTCTCATGTCTCTGAGAGTCTTTTTGTTCCTAGTGTCTCTAGATAAAAATTGCAGGTAGTTGCAAGTTCTCTCAGGCAAACATGCCTGCACTTAATTTCTATGCTACTTCATTTTGTCAAGTCTCTTGGCAGATATTAACAGAACAACCTACCAATCCTTAAAACTGATATGTGGGATGAGCTGCATTTCATAATTTGCACAGCTTGGAAAACAAAGACTGGGAGGCAAAATGATTTACCTTAATGGTAAACAGAGAAAGATTGATTTACAAATGTTCCCAAATTCCCACATTTTACTTACACTTTCAAACTTGGAATTTGCAAACTGTGTTCTGTTAAGCACACTCTCTCCACAAGTGATAAAAGGCATTGTGTCAAACCCCTCAAAATCCTTTCCCAGTGTTAGAGAAATAATTTTATTTAAGACATCCCATTCCACTGATTCATGTTACAAGTCTGAATTTAAATGCGTGTAGTTTTTCTTGAAATGGCTGCTGATCCATGTTCTAGAAAGTAAGTAACCTGCCACTCAAGGGTACATACTCCTCTCGTTTTTGAGTCCTGAACATTACTGGCAACCTTTGGAGTTCATCAATCACCAGAATTACTCACTGATAATGATGTACCGTCTTGCTATTGATCATGGTAACTATCTGGCATGCTGTTGCTGCAGGTCCAGCTGAGAGCTGAGGGCTTCTGGTTGACTGCAATCTCCCAGATGTCTCTAGCATCTGCTCTAGAAAGACATAATCAAGCCATCAGAATTCAACACATCTTTGTAATTCACAGAATCACAGAATTTTAGGTGAAGAGAGGGGTTGGAAAGGACCCCTGGCATTTATCTAGTCCAACCCCCCTACTAAAGCAGGTTCCCTGGAGGTATTCAAGTAAGAGTAAGAGTGGATGTGATCATCAAACACATGGCAGCTTCATTTATCCTACATTCCTGATCTCTTATTCTTGAGTTTACCCTAATCAAATGATCCATTCTGACTTCATGTTTTAGGAGCGCTTAAGTTGTGCTTTCACAGTTCAAATACTTTAAGAAAAAAAAAAGAAAATAGAAAAAAAAAGTTTGCATTTTTCTGAATTATCTATAATGAATAGTAGTCAAGGTGGGAAAATTTACATCCATCTCCATAACATAGCATAATTATTTGCTATTAACAGTGGTGCTTACTCTGTTGCTACTTTAAAAAACGAAGTTCATTGTGTTTCAAAATAATCTCCATGCTTACCTTTCAGTTTATCTCATGGTCTGGTGAAACCATCTGGTTCACAAGAAACAAGTAACATAAAATGAAGACCAGTATAGGGTAATATTTTCATTAATTCATCCCCTCTTGAAAAAACTCCAAAGTTGAAGAAAATCTTCCTGTGTGGTATTGCTCTATTTTCAGACCTCATGAAGGCTGAAAGCCTTCTCTGTTCAGAACGCTTTCAATGCAGAAAGAAGCAAAACTGGTTGGTTTGACCAAACAGCTCAGTTGGTTGGTGCAGACTAAAAGCAAACACCAGGAGTCTGAATTATGGAGAGATTTTGTTGGTTTCTACTCAATGGTTACCCTCATCCTGTTTTTAGACTGTATTGACCTCTACACCAAGGAAGGTGGCCATAAACTATATCTTACTTCTTGCTTTTTACTGGAAACAGGCAAAAACAACACAAAGTGTTAAAATAGAGATCAAGAATATTTCCTAATGTATTTCCTTGTCCCCTCTTTGCTTTATTAATTTAATCTCTAATAACAAGAATGGCTACAGTAACTGGGACATCACTGCATCACATAAGAGCCTCAAGGTCTTACCGTTTCAAGTATGAGAGAGAAAGAAAGAAAGGAGATATGTGAGAGATTTGTAGAAGGTAGGAACCATGAGCTGCTTATAATATCAAGAAAAGCTTTGGAGGAAAGAAATACATGTGGAAAGATACACAGCATATGTATTTCTAGTGAATCTGGTTTATAGAATCCCCTTGTTGTGCCCTTAACTGTGAAATCAAACTTTCAGTTTTATGTCGTATTTTTCATCAGTGCCTTCGCGATAGTGATGAAGCCCTATTTTTGTCCTCATATTACAGGGTGAACAGTCTTCACAGCATATCCAAATCTCTGGCCTCAGTAATCTAAATACTGGCACAAAGTCCTCAGTGACATACCTGAGTCCATTTTAATGTCAGTCTTAATTCTGTTGCTTCTGGAATTTATTGATACGCTGTAGCTTCAGTGGGGATGGTGCTTGACGTGGCTATTCTCTTTGTCTCATATAGCATCTGTATTTGCAAAAACTAATACTGTTATAAACATAGAGAAAGCAAGCATGCGTACACGGTCACACAGACCGACTCAGTGACAAAAATTAGTTTATAGCATTTATTTCATCTTGCAGGATCTTTTTTTTTTTTTTTTAGCTTCCCAAGCCCTTTTACAAAACAGGTTACCCAATGAATCTCCAGTGTCTCTCCTCACATCTAGCAGAAATATGCTAATTTAAGAGTGCTTGTTAATTTTAGCTAGAAACATGGCTGTCCAATTCTAGTTCATGAGTAGAAGGATGTCCCAAAAATAAATGAGGAGCAACTCCCAAGATGTTAGAAAAACTACTTTAGGATCAAAAAAATTAGAGCGGATGGAAAAAATTCTTCATATCCTGATATATTATGAGGAAGTGGCATTTTAAATCCATTACTTCTTTCTCTCTCTCTCCCCCTTGTTTTTAAGGCACAAAGCTGCTTACAGAAGAAAAGCAAACGGCGATTATGGAAGATGAAGAAAAGGATGGAGACACAATCCCCAGTTAAGATTACAGTGATATTTCCAATATTGCAGTGTAAATAATTCTGGGTCATTCAAAGTGGCAGCACATAGAAAAAGAAGTCCTTTCATTTTTATAAATAATTTTTTCAAGCATGCACTTGAATTTAATTTATCTTCAAGTGCTTCTCTGCATCTCATGAAATCCCAGCAAGCATTACAGGAGATGACAGAAAATTCACCTACATGTGGGGCTGGAAGGATTCTCTTGGTTAACTAAAGCAGCTTCCCAGGATTTCTGTCTTCAGGGGATCCACCTGAGACTATATCTACTACCTTGTAGTGTGGTGGTAAGAGTTGACACAAAGGCCCCATCGATCCAGGGAAGTTGGCACTAGATAACAGGGTGTCAGTAAATGCATGATACCACTAGATATCACAGGGTAGTCAAATATCAACTAATGATTCAAATTGCATTTTTCTTCTGACATCTCACCTCGTTCATCCAGCTTTCCTTCATCGGAATAATGCTGATCACAGTAAATATTTCCACACGTATTACTGATGTGATCGATGTTCCTGAAATGCAAAGCAAACACTTCTTGGGCCTGTATCTGTTCATGACTGGTGTTTGGGAGGAGAAAAGGGTAGATTTACTGTCGTAGAAAAGCTTACAGCTATGGGCTGTTGGCACTGGCACATCAAACAGAACTGACGACAGAGCTCTCATAAAAGAAACTTCTGGGAAGAGCAACATTTGCCTATTATAGTGGTGTAGAATGTTGATTTCTTTTTTTTTTTTTTCTCAAAGGTTTTATTCCTGAATTGCTGAAAGCCAAATTAGTTGAAAAAAACTGATCCTTTTACTCTTTTATATATATATATGAGGTTTTTCAGCTCAGTCCTAGGAGGGGCTGTAAGGATTAAAAATCACAACAAGATATTGCAGACTAAGCAAAAGAATAGCATTACTCTATGTCATATGCATAATGCAAGATGAAACAGCGTCATGCTTTTAAAAAATAATTTAATTAAATGATTAAACCAATAAACGTTTTCGTGGCCAGCTACACACTTCAACATTTGTACAGAGAAGGGTACTTGTAGAATATTATACAAAATACGTAGGGCTGGATAGCTTTGTGCTTATCTTAATAGCTCTGTATGCTAGATGGAGCAGCAACACCAGTGGACCCTTAGGGACCTCAGCACACAAATTAGAGATTACCTAGGCTGGCAGACTGCAGTTATCTGTTTAACACCCATAGGCAGGCAGCTGAGGAGCACACTAGTCTGGACTTCATTTGCCACAGTGACTGACCCAGCATCTTTCATCCCATTCACAGATGTTCAGCTTCAAGATGTAACCAACAAGCTTATAATAAAATATGGTATATTAAAGCATACTAGAGATCAGCTGTATTATTAATGCGATGTCTGATACTAGAAGGTGTAATTTTTAATCCTATTAATCTATCAGCAAGTTAAGACAATATTTAAAATATGATCAATCAGTGTTTCATTTGATAATGTTTGCATAAGGTACACAGTAAAGTATGTCACTGCAAGTACGTGGTACGAATAGAAACACAATCAGCATGTCATGCACTACTAGTTTTTAATTTTTGGAACTGTAAGTTAAACTCAATACAAGTTAGGCACTGATGTGGCCCAAGCTTTATGCCGTGTCTCATTGCCAACAGATTTTCATTTGGATCCCACCCAAGCAGCTCAAGCAAAGTTTTATTATTAAATTCAGGAATACTTAGAAGATGAAAAATGTGAACAAAGCTGCTCTGAGGCCAGCTCAGGAGCATGCTGGGATTTAGGGGTTAGGAATTTAGGTGACGAATAAAGGACATGGCCTCCTCCCAGCACAAAATGCAGACCTTGTGTTGCCTCTGTGAAAGAAGGTCCATGGCATGAGAGACTCCCTGTACCATTCATTCCTGAGCTCCAAGGCACTGTGACAACAGATTGCCTTTATGTAAATGGTACACTTTCTAAAGTAGAATGAAAATTTTTTTGGTAAAAAATAAATGCCAGGCTTGAGACAAAGCAGATATTCATGTATTTACACATAACAGTTCACACCAGCTAAGAACCTGAATGAGCTGGAGGAAAAAAAAAGAAACAAACAAACAAAAAAAACAGCCTCTTCTGCAGTTGTCAACAAAAATCTTGAGAGTTTTTTCACTCCAGGGGAGTTTAATACAATTTCAGTGAGCAAGAAAAGTACCAAACCTTGTTTTATCCATCCTTACAGTTCAAGTCCATTGTTGTTTAAAAACAAACGAACAAACAAACAAGATTTCTCAGAATCTACTCTCTCCTGGCAAAACTTATTCATGTTTGGATTACACTGATGTCAGCTGAGTTGTAGCTGAGCTAGTGAATCCCAATTGAGGTTCTGCACCACTGAAGCAGCTTTTGTCTCCACGTAGAGGCTCCTGCAAAATGTGAAAGAAAATAATATATGTTGTACTGACCAAAGTCAACCAAACTCCTGTTTGAAGAGAAAAATACACACATAGATGTAAGCACAGACAGTGGCCATCGTGTAAGAACTCTCCCAAAACAGCACCAACACAAGCAATGATCGTGGTAGGCCTTTTCAAGACTTTAACAACACACAGCTGCTGCAGACCAAGGTTGTCCTCTGAAATGAAGATACCTGTGCATGGCCACGGTGCTCTTGCAGGTCTCAGGAGATGCTTGTGTTGTTTCTTCCAGCCAGCAGCTCCTCATATCTTTGCCAAGCTCAGTGCTTGACCCTGGGCTTGCTGCTCTCTTTTTAAACAGAGAATGGAAAGAGCAGCACAGTAGCCTGGGAGTGTTACATCCTGGCAGCCCCAGGACTGTGGAGAAACTGGAGGTATCCCAAGGACCATGAAGGCTCTGGTGTGTCCCCAAGGCATTTTATCACCTTATCTTGGCTCAGCGTGTCTTCAAATGAAATTTGCAGTGTGATTTGAGTCTAGTTTTACTAGTGTTGTCCATAACTATTGACACAATATACTAAGAGTGAGGGTGTGGAGTCCTGAAAAGATTCAAGTGAACATCATCAGTGCCACAAAAAATGCATTTAGATGGTGAAAGCCCTTAAGAATACAAGGGAGGGGCACAAATAGGATGTGACTTCATTGCTCTGAAGAGCAATTTGTTTCAAAAGCTGGGCAAAGTTGACACAGCTTAATATGAAAAAAAGAATAACACACTTTAAGCCTACCAAAGCACTGTGTGTTCTTTGCTAAAGAGGAGTTATGGTCCCGCTGACATCTGTGATGGCACAGCTGCCTGATTTACCATCCCTGTATAGATCAACTTGAAGCTCAGACATAAAAATGCTGCAATATACATCATTCACTGAAACTCATTTAAAATTGCATATTTATAGTCTGGTAATTTGGCATTTACTATTTTTTGCCCAGAGAGCTACGTGAGCTACTAAAAAGTAATTTTTTATTTGGCCAATTCAGTAAATATGAGGCTTTGTGGGAAACAGTATGATGGATCATTTCCCCAAGTTTTCATCTGCCTCTTGTATTCAGTGAAGAAGTGTTAACCTATGGGTGTCAAACCTGGGCCACACAGTGTAGAGGAATTTTCTTGGGCTGCATATAAAATACAAATATTTTATCTATAAATATAAAAATTGTTTATTTTGTTTTCTGGTTTTGACTTTTTCATTATTTTGTATTGTTATTTTAAATTCTTCATTGTCCAGTCTTGAACAAAAAGTCCAAGTGAAGCATCTGGGCTGGATCTTCCTGCTGAAGTTCAGCCCTTCTTCCTGTCCAAAACAAAGTCTGCTTCTCCACAGGAACAGCTGCCTCTGTCACTTCTCTGACTCCTCCTCTGTCCCTAGGGAGGGATGAGGGAGTGGGACAGGAAGGATGGGCTCATGGAGGCCTTGGCTGTGAAAAGATGAATTACCAGGAAATGGAGGCTCCATGTGAGCCCATGGGGTGGCCCTGAGTTGGGGCCCTCCCTCCCAGCTAACGGTAAACTTACTCGTGCCTGTGTGATGTTTGAGGCCCCCAGTAGTTATGGTCCCTCTGCTGGACTCGTTCCCCTGCCCCAGCACAGCAGCTCAGAGGATGGCAGTCCCCGCCCTGCTCTCTTCCTCAGGATTCAGTGAAGAAGAGATGAGAGGACTTGGGAAGGGACAAGGGAGGGGGATGGGAAGGATTGACTCATAGGAGCCTCGGCTGTGAAAAGAAGAACGACCAGGAAATGGAGGCTCTGTGTAGCCCACAGGGTGGCCCTGAGCTGGGGCTCTCCGGGATGAGGGCAAACTTACGGGATGGGAGCATCAGCACCGGCGTCGAGGCGGCCGTTTGGATGGAGGCAGACGGGTCCTGGCGCCCCGGCGATCCCTGGGGCGCGACCTCTTTCCGATCGGCCTGGCAGTGGCGGGGTGGTGGCCGGTCTGCAGCAGCAGAGGTGGATCCACCTCCATCATGTCATCCTCCGGAGGCGGATCCACCTCCATTGGCTCCGTGTCACTGCCAGGCGGGTCCACCTCCATGGGCTCGATGACATTGCCCATCAGCCGCCTCTTCTTAAGTGGTGGTTGCTCCATCTCAGGTAGGAGAAACTTCTTGACGTGCAAACGCCACTCGCTCTCTCCTCTCAGAGGTTCTGAGTGTCCCGTGGAAACCAAAACACGGCAGTTGGGAGATGGTTGCAAGAATGTACCAAGAGAGTTGGGGGGAGGGGGGGGGGCAGTGCTGGGGGTTCTCAACCACCCTGCAGCTGCCTGGAACGTACCAAGAGGGTCAGGGCAGGGGGTTCTTGAGCAGCCTGCAGCAGCAGAGGGGGCAGAGCATACTGATACCCACAGGCAGCCAAGGGACATGCAACCGTTAAAAACTGTTGAGTTTTAAGGGTTGTATCAGCTGTCCTTTCCCATCCCTCGCCGATGCCCCTGAGTGTGAGAAGGTGGCATCTCTTCTACCGTGATCTCAAAGGAGAGAGATGGGGAGAAGAGGGCCTACTGTTCTCTGGGCAGTCACACTGGGACTGTAGGGAAGTGCATTGGAGGGCCTGTGAGGTCCTTGCGACCTGGTGGTGGGGTTTTCCTCCCCAGGGAAAAGAAGAACAATTAGGGTTTGCTGTCCTCAGCCTGTTCTCCCCTTGTTTAAGGTGATGGCTGGCCCTTCATGGCAGCGCACAAAGAGCAGCTGGGTATCAGTCACAGCTCTAGATAAGCAGTTTGGATCTCTGCAATCTCTGGAATAGGGGTATTGAAAAGAGAGCTTTGGGGCAGGGATACTGCGTGTCAGTGGCTGTCCACTATCAGTTGACCCTAGTGTACATCAAGCAGCATGAAAGTGTTCAGACCCTACCGTCAGGTGAAGAGGAAAGGGCAGTGTTTGTTTCCTGTGCAGTGACTAAATTAACTACTAAGCTGCCCAGTAGACTGACACTCTCAGTCCCCTCTCAGCTCATTCATAGCTTTTCTACCTTTGGCTCGTGCTTTTTTGTGAAGGCCTCTGGTGCAGATGGCACATTTTGAGGACTGATTGTTGGTGCTGTGTGTTTGATTCAGTCAAACTTGGTTGAGTTTGGATACCCTGGGGAGGACACAGACCTCCCTTCCACTGAACCAGACATTGGTGCATTAGTTTCTTAAAAACAAGTCAAGTCAAAGATCCCACTGGTTTTATGATTTTGTTGCTCTCTGCTTTTGTTTTAATAAGAAAATATAAAAAAATAAGTTTTATGATTTACACATGACTTGTACGTTAACTACATTGTCTATTTTATGTTCACACCAAGACAATTTCACTCACTGTGGCCCCATGCAGAGTACATGGAAGAAGATAGTGAGGAATCAGCCTGAAGGACTCATGCTGATCAGTCAGCTGAGCAGCAGGAGTGAACAAAAAGCCACAAGAAGGGAGAAGGAGGTGGGGACATGTCCTGTCCAGAACCAGATTTGCCTTGTGAACCCATCTGCTTCATGACTTAAAAAGACCCATGAATGACTCATTCATGTTGCTGAGACAAAGCCCCTTGTTTTTCCTCCTCCCCTTCCTCCTCCAATCTCTGTTTTTGCTGCTCTGGTTGCCCTTGAGGACATGGGAACCAATCTTCTTTCCTATTCTTTACTCGTTTAGATACAGAACTACATAAAACATATGGAATGATGGAGGCCTCCCTGTGCCTCACTCAGTGTCGATCTGAACATCTTAAAAACCAGCATCAAACTTACTTGCAAAGCGACCCAGTGATTGGAGCACAGACTCAATTCACAAATACCCTAAACAGGAAAAGCAAGCAAAGAAACAAACGAAACCAAACACAATAAATTACGCTTGCAATGAATAATTCATAATAAAATCTAAATGGTATCAGGGGTCATTCTGGACTCAATTCTACATTGCTGACAAGTGATTATCTCAGAAATCACTGAGATTTTAATAATAATAATAATAATAATAATAATAACAACAATAATAATAATAATAATAAAGTGGGGCATGCTGCAAAGCCAGTCCTCCCTCAAATAACACAGATTCTCCTTCTAAACTTCACAGCTAGAAAATTTCCTTTTGGTGTACGCTAGATGGCGGGGTTGGACTGAGCAGAGGAGCACATCCTCTCCAACCACACTTCCCGTGCACCAGGCTGGATGCAATTAACACAACCAGTTTGCCTTAGGAGTAGTTTTCACGACGTGCCCAACATTTTCAAGGAGTGGTCTGCACAAACATCCTTTCTCCCTCTCTTTAAAGTACTTACTAGACCTAGAGCAGGAAGCTTTGGAAGAGGGAAGGGACATCACGAGACATCTTTCCAATCCAAATCACAATCTGCCTTCACCTGCCCAGCTTCAGGAAAAATGAAACATAAAACCCCTTTATGCCACTCAGGTGAATATACTGACTTTCTAGAGGGGAACCATTAGAGAGCAACACAGCACAGCGTGGGTTCAGTTGAAGAAAAATGTGAGCAAAGCAGAATCTGATCAGAACCGAATTAAGTTTCTAGCAGCCAGGTATACACCCTGTGGGACCCCAGGTAAATCAGTTCATTTCCCTGTGCCTTAACTACCCAGCAGTAAAACCAAGATTGTGACTTATCTCTGCTTCGTGACAAAGTAGAGAGTGTGAGTCAGGAGAGCAAGGACAAAAAA